GGTTGGGGAAGGCTGTGGTCTTAGAGACCTGCAGCGCTCACACCAGGCTTTCTCAGGTGTGGGCAGGAGTGTGCCCAGCTGAGTGGCAGTGCAAGCAGTGCAAAGTCGTGTGTTCAGGGACCACAGACTGGAGCCCCTGTTAGACTCTCTCTGGCACAGGTGGTCACTGGTGGTGACTGTCCTGGGAACATGGCCTTAGGCCCCTGCCCATGATCGTCCAGTTCCACCAGTTGCCCCCTCAGATCTTTTGCTCTTTCTGAGCACTTTTAACCAGACTCCAAGTTAATGCTGGTTCCCAATCACAGAGCACTTTTGTATTAGGGTATTACTTTCCAATGGGTCATTTCTGGTGGCTCCCTCCCCTTTCTGTTTATCCTTCAATATCAGTCCAAATGTTCCCTCTCTGCTTTACCTCTCCACTGATGTCTTTTGCCCCCATAGAGATCCAGAAGTGTATAATCTTACATCTCAGGCTGATTTCCTGAGTGTTCAGAGTGTTCTGGTAGAGATTTAGCTCACTTTACGGGAATGGTTGAAACAAGGCCTTCTACTTCTCTGCCACCTTGCCCCTCCTCACTCAGCATTTTTACGTTCAGCCTAATTAGACCTCATTTCTGCTCTCAGAGCTTCTATATTGTTGCTAATATTTTTCTCAACCCTGTATATTGACTTCATAATTGTAACTCTGAAGTCTATCTCTGATATCTTACTTATATCTATATCCATTAGGTCTGTGGCAGAGGCCATAGTCTCTGATTCTTTTCTTTGTTGGGGGTTCCTCCTCCTAATCATTCAGTTGGGGGAGTGCTTGAGGGAATATACAGAGTCTAAAGTATTAACCATTACCTAAGCAAGATGTACCTGTTATAGAGGGACCCTAGGGTTGTCTTCCTCTTGTTCTTCCATCCTGTCTTCTGGCAGAGGGGCCTGTCATGTTGTTACTCAGGCAACCTTCCTTGGACAGATTTGCCTTGCCTCCTGTGGGAAGGGGTGGGCTCAGTGAAAACCGGTATAGGGGGGCTTTTGTTCTCTGGTGGCCTCCCCTGGTAGCATTCTGTGTCTCTTCCAAGAGTCAGAGCAGAATTGACCACACTGAAACCTCTGTCCCAAAACATAAAAATCACAGTCTGCTCTTCACTGAGCTCTCCAGGACACACAGTCTTTGTTTCTGTCTGTCCTGCTAAAAACCACAGCCTCCCTGGTTGTTTGCCCCACCACAGCTCCCCCAGAGGTTGATTCTAAGGTTGGGAATGTCTCTGTCCTTGGTGTTTCTAAAACCTTGAGCTGTCTTCAGGTCATTTCCAGGCACCAGCAGCTCCTGGATCCTGCCTGGGTGCTGGACTAAAGTCCTTACCTTGCACTACCAGTTTTTGAGTCTGTGCCTGGTCCCCAGCATGTAACCCTTTTGCACTATGGTGTTATATTACCTTCTTCACACCTGCTTTTGGTGCTCTCTCCATCTTCTATTTATCTTCCAATATCTGCCCACAGAATCATAGCTCTCCCCTTTTTACCTCAAGACCACTAGGGATTTACTGCTTGTAGGGATCCAGATATAAATTATTACATCTCAGGCTAATTTCATGTTCAGAGTGGTTCGTAGATATCCCAAGAAATTCAGGGGACCAGTTGAAATAGGTTCTCCTAGTTCTCTACCATCTTCTGAGGATCTCCCTGCATTGCTCACTTTTAAACTGTTTTTATACCTTTTACTCTGCAGTGCCTGTGCTGTGTCTTTGGATTCCCTCATGTCTTTTGTCTTGTTGTGTCTGATGCTAATCACAGCCCTTCTATTTGTGATCAGAGACTTTATATTTTTCATCTCTAGCAGCTTGAATTGGATGTTTTAATTTTCTTCTTTCTCTCCTCTTAGCATTTCAGTCCTTCGGCCTAAATATGGATGGAAGTCTGCAACCTCATCCTGACTTCCATGTACAGCCTTCTGTCCTGTCTGGGATGTTCCAGACCTGCTGCCCCAGGACTGCCTGAGCTGATTCTCAACATGAGTGTCTCTCTCCCACTGTTGCTGTCTCTCTGTGCATCACAGACAATACACACATACATGCACATGACATCCATGTCCTATTAAATCTGTACCCTCCAGATAATCCTAAGTCATGCACCTGAGTAGCTATAGTTCTTTGTTTGTAAAGTGATGTTATTTTAATGGTTTGCGTGGATTTGCAGTCCTCACCTCCTACCTTATCAGAGTTCCTCCCAGGGACACAACATCACTCACATGCAAGGTGAGTACATCATAACATAGTCTCATCTCCCTCATCATTTCTGCTCTCATTGTCATATGTTTTACTTGTAACTCCATTATAAATCAAACATGTTGCTATTTTTTTCTGCTTTAAGGAGTTGACTGTATTTACAGATATTGACCACTAAATTTTGTTTTATGATTTCTGAAGCTTATTATACTTTGTGTAGATGCACATTTCCATTTGTCACCCTTTCCTTGTGTCTGAGGGGTGTCCTTCACTCTTGCTTGTGCCGAGGGTCTGTGGGTGATCAGTTCTGGGAGGTTTGTAGTTTGAGAAAGGCTTAGTTTGTCTTCAATTTTCAATGATATTTTTTGTGGATAAAGACCAAGGTTGAGAATGTTTTCTGTTAGTATTCTGAGGACATTGCCCTCTGTTTTCCTGTTTACATAGTTCATGATAAGAAAATGTGCTCCCTAGACACATCACCAAAGGCAAGGGAAACAAAAGCAAAAATGAACTATTGGGAATTCATCAAGACAAAATGCTTCTGCACATCAAAGGAAACATTCAACAAAATGAAGAGGTAACCCATGGAATAGAAGAAGATGTTTGGAAATGACGTGTCATATAAAGGGCTGGTATCCAAGATCTATAAAGAATTTCTCAAACTCAACACCCAAAAAACAAATAACCTAATCAAGAAATGGGCAGAAGACATGAACAGACATATCTCCAAGGACATGCAAATGGCTGACAGACACATGGCAAAATGTTCAACATCACTAGCCATTAGGGAAATACAAACCAAAACCACAATGAGATACCACCTTACACCAGTTAGAATGGCAAAAATTAACAAGTCAGGAAGTGACAGATGTTGGTGAGGATGGGGAGAAAGTGGAACCCTACACTATTGGTTGGAAAGCAAGCTGGTGCAGTCACTCTGAAAAACAGTGTGGAGGCTCCTCAAGATGTTAAAAATAGAACTAGCAATTTCACTACTGTGTATTTACCCTGAACATACAAACAGTGGAAAGAAGAGGCACCTGCAGCCCGATGTTCATAGCAGCAGTGTCCATAATAGCCAAACTGTAGAAGGAGCTGAGATGACCTTCAACACAAGAATGGGTAAATATGTGGTTCACATATGCAAAGGAATATTCCTCAGCCATCTGGAAGGATGAATACCTACAATTTATATTGATATGGACAGAACTGGAGGGGATTATGCTGAATGAAATAAGTCAGGTGGAGAAGGACAATTACCATGATTTTTAATCATATGTGGAATGTAAGGAATAGTGTGGAGGACCATAGGGGAAGGGAGGGAAAACTGGATGGGAAGAAATCAGAAAGGGGACAAAACTTGAGAGACTCTGGATTCTGGGAACCAAACTGAAGGTTATAGAGGGGAGGGGGATGGGGTAACAGGGTGATGGGTATTAAGGAGGGCACACGTCATGATGAGCAGTGGGTGTTACATACAACTAATGAATCATTGAACACTACATCAAAAACTAGTGTACTGTATGATGGCTAAGTAAACATAATAAAATTAATTATTAATGGGAAAAAAAGAAAATGTGTCTCAGCACAATGACGGTTTCTTTGTTTAGAACAGGACTCTCCTCTCTGGTTGTGAGAGTGTCTGCATCACTGGTTTGTAATAATTTCATAATGATGTGTACTTTGCTGGCTCTCATGTTCCCTGTATCTGAGCTTCATTGAGCTTCTTGGATATATTGGTTCCTGGGTGTCTCCAAACTTGAAGTTTTTTTGTAGATATTTCTTCACAGATTTTTTGATTTGTCCTCAGCTCTTTACCATCCTTTCTGCAGTTCCTACACTTGCACACTGTCCGGGTGGCATGAAGGTGTCCTCCAGGCACTAAGCCTTCATCAGTTTTATTAGGTATTTCATTTTGTGTTTCATTTTGAATACTTTCCATCACTACGACATCAAGTTCCCTAATATCCTCTTTTGCAACATCATATCTGCTGTCAGTCTATCCCATGTATTTTAAAATTTCAGATCATGTACTTTGGGAATTCTTTTTTTTTTTTCACATGAAAATTTGACATTAATTTCCATTTTGGAATTGGGAAATTTACAGGATAGTAACAAAGAAAAGTATCTGAAATAGTGCCCCTCTAGTCACACTCAGGGAAGGATTTCTCCAATTCTGCAATGCCAACCACTGTGCTGAATTCTTTTTTTTGGGGGGGGGACTTTTTTTAATTTTATTTTTTATAAACATATAATATATTTTTTCCCCAGGGGTATAGGTCTGTGAATCGCCAGGTTTACACACTTCACAGCACTCACCATAGCACATACCCTTCCCAATGTCCATAACCCCACCCCCCTCCCACCCCCACTCCCCCCAGCAACCCTCAGTTTGTTTTGTGAGATTAAGAGTCACTTATGGTTTATCTCCCTCCCAATCCCATCTTGCTTCATTTACTCTTCTACTACTTTGGGAATTCTTAAAAGAGTTTTTTTTTTTTAACTTCCATTTCTGCTTCTCACATGTACAGTCCTTCTTCCACCCACAGTCCTAGGTTAATAGAGTTCTAATAACTGATTACAAATCCCCTGGTGATCCGCCCTGTGCAGCCTGCCTGAAGGACTGGGAGGAAGGGGACAGACTGGGAAACTCAAACCTGAGAACCTGGGCCAGACCGGCTCTCTGCTCTGTGTACAGGCCTCCTGTGGCTGGAGGAGAGGGTGACACAGATGGGGAAGGGGTTTGTGTCTCACTTCCCTAAATGCCTGTGTCACTGTGAGCATCACCACTGCTGTCATAGGACTGACAGTAATAGTCAGCCTCATCCTCATCCTGGACCCCACTGATGGTCAGGGTGGCTGTGTTTCCTGATGTGGAGCCAGAGAATCACTCTGGGATCCCTGAGGTCCTCTCGCTATCATCATAAATGACCATCAGAGGGGCTTGGCGTGGCTTCTGCTCGTACCACTGTACAACATTGTCCAGTTCCTCTCCAGTGCAGGTGATTGTAGCCATCTGTCCCAGGGCCACTGACACTGAGTGTGGCTTAGTCAGCTCACTGGAGACCATGGAGCCTGAAAAGACAGAAGAGGAGAGGTTGCAATGAGGTCCAGGGGCTCATCCCAAGATCCCAGTGCTGAGGCTGTTCTGGGCTGGGCTCAGGGTTTGGGGCAGGCTAAGCTCAGGTGTCCTGTGAGGCTGAGAGTGTGGGCAGGACCAGGGACAGCACCTGCGCAGAAAGCGAGGAAGAGGAGTGAGAGAGGGGTCCAGGCCATGGTGCATGTACCCAGCACTCCGTCTTCTGAGAACCACAGTTGGACAACCTTACCCCACATCCTCTTATCTCTTTCCGGACCCCTGGGTCTGGGACTGTTAGTATTTATGCAAATTTCCTCCTCTGTGGCACTCCAAATGCCTTCAAATCACTTGTGGCTCAGACCAGGTGACTAGGAGGAAGAAAGGGGTCCCCACTTCCTCCAAGCAGCTCTCAGGCCAGAAAATGAGCTTTGGTCTCCAAATTTGGTATCACACTCACATTCTTGGGGTTTGAACACAACCACTGTTCTAACCTGTTCTGCCTGAGCACTATCTGAGGCTGGCCCAGGGTTTCCAGAATCCTGGCCATGGGCCTGGCCTGGTCTCTCTGAGAGATGCAGACACCACTTGATTCAAGGTGAGGTGGTCCTGTGACCTTACTACTCTCCTCTCCCAGCTCCAGATCTCCCCTGCATCCCCCACAGATACTGTGGTCCCATTCTTGGCATGTCAACAGAATAGAAAACTCTCTAGTTCTGAGGTTCACTCATCTCTTACAAAAGTGGGTACTAACTTGTTAAACAACCACCTGCTGCTGGAGATTCATCAGTATTTCTGGTCTATTAACACATAGTGCTGTTGTCTCTCTGACAGCCCCCATCCCACAGCAGATCAGCAATGACATTGTCAACCACTTCATTCCTTTTAATTTTTTTCATTAATTTTTCATGGGAACATATGAAAAATTCCTGAATCCATGAGAAAAAACTTCAAGGTTTGTGGTCTTGTAAGGATTCACATGATCACATGTTCCCATATATTGTGAGTTCGAGGCCCTGAACCATGGTCCCTGCAGCCATGAGAATCACATCACTCTGGAGACAGTCTCACAAGGAGGCTGCAGATGCTCCTTCCAGGGACCAGGGTCCTGAGTGCTCTGCCTCCTGTCCCCTGAGATGCTCTTGAACAAAGGAGCTGCAGCCCCAGGTCTGAGTTGGGGCAGAGGTGGGGAAGGAGAGGCAGAGGGAGTCATCGGAGTGTCTCTGGATGTGCCAGTGCAGAGGAGTCAGTCCCTGGGGACACTCATAGACAGAGAGGGGACCTGAATTTCCTAGGTGTGTGCTCACTCTACAGGACAGCCATCAGTGTTCTGGGTGACACTGTGTGTCTGACCATCAGAACATGGTCCTTTCAGCCTGAAGAGATAGGATGGATCATCATGACTTCTTTCTGAGGGCTGTGGACACCTGCTGATCCCAGGCCTGGTGTCCCTGTGAGGCTCCTCTGGGCAGCCCCAGCCTCTGTCCTGCTGCTCCTGGTGCAGCTCTGCTGCCCCCTGCTGGTGGAGCAGGACTCAGACAGGGAGCTTCCCCACTGCAGGTCACCCCAGAGCATCTGTCATCCAAGAAAGGATGTGGACTAGGGTTTCCAGGCTCCCACAGGCAGCTGCTCCCCCTTTCTCTGCCAAGTTCAGTACAGAAGGTCACGTACATCATTCAAGGGGCAATATTTTTCAATTTCTATGCTTGTCTAGGGTAAAGACGTTGGTCTGGCCCACTATCTTGTTATAAAAAGGAGAGTTCGGTGTCCAGTGTAGTGCATTTAAAAAGGGTCAGTGTCCAGACAAACCTATGTGATGTCCCACAGCCACCAGGTTCCTGTGTATTTAGGAATCAGAATCGATGCTTCCTGCATCCCTATCTGTGTAGTTGGGTCATGGGAGTGACAGGTGATGCTTCTGGTGCTAAGTTCAGTTGAGCAGGGAAATCTTTAATTTTATTGTTATTAGTGTTATTTTTACAGCATTTTAAAATTATTCCAGCCCTCTTCTCCTGGATTTTGTGTGGGAAGATTTGTAGTCTAGGCTGTGGTTTTGTGGAACTGGGAATCTGCTCATTAGACTTGGACCCAGCTGCATTTGATGCAGGTCATAGGGAAGCTGAAATCTTTTCCTTGGATTCCCACAGGAAGACCAGAGACTCCAACTCTAAGGTCAACTCACTGAGATCACATGGAGTCTCTAATTAGTAAGACTCTTACAATATTTTGTACAATTTAATATGAAAAAAGTGTGTCTTCTGTGAATAGATGCTTCCCCATTTCACAGCAGGTAAAGCTGAGGCCCAGAGAGCCTAGCTTCCCAGAGAAACAGAGGACAGTGGGGGTGAGTCCAGGAGGGAGAACACATGTGCTGGATTAGACTCTGGGCTCATCCGGGTAGAGCTTGACTAGGGCAGGTGGAAGGAAGGTGAGGCCAGGCTGGGCAGCAGGGCTTCTGTCCCTCAGATCACTGACTTGCTCATTATGGCCTGGCCCATAAGATACTAGGTAGGCAGCCCGTGTGGAGGGTTAGAGATATCATGCCCCGGGTTTGAGCTGGAGAATCTGTGGGGACAGTAGAGGCTATTTGGTGGTACAGGGGTCTGACCTGGGTCTTGATGGCTCTGCTCTGCGTTCCTGCTTGGTCCTTTCTGTGCTCCATGTTTGAGGGAGTGACAGCTGTCTTGAGGGCACAGTAATGGGGTCAGATGAGTCTTGCAGTGGACACAAGTCCTGTAGGTTTAGGACACTGTGGGGCTCATTATTCTGGTCCCACCCCTTCCAGCACCCTTTGGGCTGAGCTCAGGCTCAGGGTCATGCTCGGGTCCTGTGGGTGCTAAGCTTGTCAACAGAGCCTGGGCAGAACCTGGGCAACAAGTGAGGAGGAGGAGCAGAGGAGGGTCCAAGCAATGGTGGGCAGCCCAGACTCTTTCTCTTGAGCATAATACTAAGCCTGGCCTCCTGGAGCCTCCCTCATGCCCTTTCACTGGTTCCCTCATGCTGGTGGAGAGAATCTCCTTGCTTCTGCACAAGCTGCACAGATTTGGCTTACGTGGAGCTGGCTCACCTCTCAGCTCCATAGGGGAGCTCTGGTCACTCCGTGTTTGAGCTGCGTCACAACTGGGGAGAGGGAGAGGGGAGGACATTTCTGTTGATGTTCTCATGAAATGTGTCCCATGATCATTTGCTTCTATTTCTCTGAGTGTTTCAGATACACAGGACATGAAATATTCCATCCCAATTGTGTGTAAGAGTTCAGTTCATCTTCCCAGATTCTCTGTTCTGTGTTCTTTTTAGATCCTGAATTATGGATCAGAATCAAGTGGGAATATTATCTTGATCTTGCACTTAGTATAAGATTATTTATGTAGGTTTCTCAATCTTGGATGTTACTGTTAAACTCATTTTGACATTGTCTGTCTTTTAATTGTGGGTCTTAGACCCTTTCCTGACTGTGAGTGGTAACATAGTTTGTTAGATCATATCTTGCTTTTTATTTTTTGTATGTTCCTTGTGTTCTCTGTTCTCCTTTCCATTTATCTCTTGTTTTTGAGTAACAGAATGCTTTTAAAGTCTTTTTATTTATTTTTGAGAGAGAGAGAACAAGCAAGGAGGGGGGAGGGGCAGAGAGAGAAGCAGGCACCCCAGTGAGCAGGGAGCCTGATGTGGGTCTCAATCCCAGGACCCTGAGATCATGACCTGAGCCAAAGGCACACGCTTAACTGACTGAGCCACCCAGGTGCCCAAGTAACAGAATATTTTTTAAAAGATTTTATTTATTTATTTGACAGACAGAGATCACAAGTAGGCAGAGAGTCAGGCAGAGAGAGGAAGGGAAGCAGGCTCCCCGATGAGCAGAGAGCCCAATGCGGAGCTCGATCCCAGGACCTGAGCTGAAGGCAGAGGCTTTAATTCACTGAGCCACCCAGGCGCCCCAACAGAATATTTCTTATGATCTATCTTATTTCTCTGTTTTGGCTCATTAGCTGTCCTCTCACCTGTGACTCATGAACATCAGACATTAGAGCCCAATTCCCACTATCCCTCCCAATATCTCATGACAGAGAACATCAGACATTAGAGCCCAATTCCCACTATCCCTCCTCTGCACTGTGGTAGTGTTACAGGATTGCAGGATCTTGTCTTAGGGAGTCAAGGAATGAATATTGTGCACACAAAATGGTGAAGTAAAGTGACAGTTTACTAAGTGAAGGTGAGAGCAGAAAGCAAAGAAACTCTCTAGAGTGAGAGAGTCCGGAATGGGTTATCACTGAGGGCTTTTAGTGGCTATCTTTAATTGAGAACTGCCTGGGAACTTGATGGCCTTCAGATTCTTGTGCCATTTTGGTTTGAGCACAGACTATCGATAACACCCTTAATGACTTAATTCTTTGAGTTTTGGCCATTTTCTGTGATATAATGCAGCCACCAAAGAAAAATGCTCCAACCACCCAAAGCCAGGTAGTCTGTTTCCTTATCTCTGTTCAGTCTGTCTTAGCCCTTCTGCCTGACAGGGATAGTCTTAGAGCCCAGCCAGGAGCCCCCGATCTCTCCCTGTCTACACCACAAACATTTCCTTACTCAGTAGGAATGTCATACCCACCACTATTAGCTACATGATAAATTTCAAGATATGCAGTGATTAGATTTGCTGTAGGCTGTGATTTATTTTTCAAAAAGAGTTAAATTACCAAAAGAATTCTTCGTATCTATCCCTGTAGTTTCCATTACTAAGTCTTGCAATCATTCTGTAGATTCGGATTCCTTCTGGAATCCCTTCTTCTTGCCTGAGGGAAATCCAATATTTCCTGTGTTATGGGTCTGCTGAAGATTGTCTCTGTCAGTTTGGTAGAGCTGAAACATTGTTTTTCTTAGTCTTTATTATAGAAGGGTATTTTCCCCGGATAAAGAATTAAGTGGTTTCTTTTTTGTTTTTCTCAGTATTTTGAAGATGTTAATCCACTGCCCTCTGTGTGCATTTCTGCTCATGAGAAATCAATCTGAATCCTATCACTGTTCCCCTGAATCTAGTGTCTTTCCTCTCTGGTTCCTTTTCACAATCTCTCTTTTCCTTTGCCTTAAACAATGTGATATTGATGGGGTTGGGCTGTGGTTTTTTTCCCCATATTTCTTTGCTTGGGGTTTCTCATGAATATAAACTATAGGTACTGAATTTTCATGAAATTTAGGACATTTGTGGCCAGGAATTCATAAAATAATCT